CTGACACCTCGCCTGGGGGTGCAGTGTCAAGGCCCATAATCCCGGGTCGAAGACCACGAACGTCATGATACCCATTAGAGCCGGGAGTCTTATGGTGAGTGGCATATCCACACTGAACCCGCTCAGCATCTTCAGTAAGGTGCCAAGACATCTGTCGCTCCACAGCCTGTCCCTTCAAGTAACTGAAAGAATATTGACGCGGAATGGAGGGAATGTACAAGACAGCCCCTTCGTCGAGAGTCAGCCAGTGTTCCTCGGTAAGGGTCAGCGTAGCAGGATCCTCGACGTGATCTCCGAACAGGAAACTCGGCTTCTTTAAAGCCTGAGTAGAGGAAGAATCCGCAGTAAAGGTGGCATCCGTGATAAGCTGGCGCAAACAATGACGCCCTCCTTCCCGTATCAAACGACAAGATTCGTCGGAACGATCTCTGTCAAACCGAGGGAGTGGACTAATGGCCTGCCTGAGAGAAGCTGAAGAGAAGACCTCCCGGCTACAACCAGTATTGGCATGAGGAGGAAGGCTCCCCGCAGGAAACTCTACTGCAATAAAGCACAAGGGTGGAGTCAGAAAATCCATCTCGTAAGAAGAATGATAAGCTCATTCACGGAATAATTGGAGAGACGATTTTGAGTGTCCTACACCGGAAGAACGGTATGCATCATCACGTAAACAACGTGGTAACATACACCGACCTATAAGGTGTAGGACGACAAAATCTGCAACAAAAAGCAGCAAGTCAGGTACAAATATGAATACACGAAATTTAAAAGGGAAATTAAGAACTTTAATTAAAATCCTATGTATGAATAGGATTTCATAATTGAAGTCTAGTTAAACCTACAAATTTCGTGCATGCGAAATAATGATTGTCATTTTTCGCGGTGAATTTTGGTGAAATACCCAAAATACCCTTCGTGTTCAAGGCCAAAATTCGGGTCAAGGACACGCCCGGGTTGGGTCATGGTCATCATATCTGATCATATAGCACCCCCCGATACCCCGTAATTTTGGTTAATTTTACAAATGAGCCCTTTTGTAGAATCGAGCCAATTTTGCAAATAAACCCCTTCACAAATTTCAATTCAACAGCCACATGCCCTTATCAAACTTTGGTTATTGGGTTGTGGTCTAAACTTTTGGAATTTCAGCCCTAAATTTCAGCAATTTTGCAAATAAACCCCTCTACACTTTGTGGGTTGCTTTTTGCAAATAAGCCCCTCAAACAACATCGGCTTTCTTGCATAAAGTACCCCTCAAATTTTCGACCAAGTGGACATGCAATCCAAAACCTAATTTCAGTCCCATTTTACACAAAAACCCCTCAAATTTTCGGCCACATTGCAAATTTTGCATAAAAGCCCCCTCAAATTTTCGGCCACATTGCAAAATTTGCATAAAACCCCCCAAAGCTTTGTGTATCCACAACCCATCATCAAATAGCCTATCTTTTAACTCATGAGAACAAAAAGTTGTAATCTTTGCATATGAGTTCATAGCATACCCCCATTACAAACATAAAGGTACAATCTTGTCAAAAAAAAGGGGAGATCTTGTAAAGGGGAACTTACCAAATCAAGAGGCTTTTCTTGAGCTTGAAGATGAAGGAGGAACCCTAGCTTGAAAGGAGATCAAACTCGGCCAAGGGGGGAATAAAAATCCGAAAACTTGGTATGGGTTTTGGAGAGGAACAATGGTGGAAGGATGAAAGGAAGAAGAAGGAGTTTGAGAGGGATTTTCTTTTGAAAATTTGAAAAGAAGGGGGAAAACAAAAGAGGTAATAAAGCCAAAACAAGGGGGAAAGCTAAAGAGGAAACAAACAAAAGACAAAAGACAAAAAAGGGGGGTGTCTCGGCCCTAGAACCGAGACACCCAAGGGTGTCTCGGCCAAGGGTGAGACACCCACGGGTGTTTCGGGTCCCGTTTTGTCCCCGTACGCCTATGTTGAGCCCGAATTCGCCCGTTTTCGTCGATTATTGGATGTCTTGATGAAGATCGACACCAATTAACATTCGATGCTCAAAACCCTAAGGGTCAACGCCGGTCAACGCGTAGCCCTAGGTCAACGCCAGTCAACGCGTTGCAACCAAAGTCAACGATTTGACGATTCGAAACCCTAAGGGTCAACACCGGTCAACGCGTAACCCTAGGTCAACGCCAGTCAACGCGTTGCAACACAAGTCAACGTTTGACGATTCGAAACCCTAAGGGTCAACGCCAGTCAACGCGTAACCCTAGGTCAACGCCAGTCAACGCGTTGCAACCAAAGTCAACGTTTGACGATTCGAAACCCTAGGGTCCACACGGGTCAACGCGTAACCCTAGGTCAACGCCAGTCAACGCGTTGCAACACAAGTCAACGTTCGACGATTTGAAACCCTAAGGGTCAACGCCGGTCAACGCGTAACCCTAGGTCAACGCCAGTCAACGCGTTGCAACCAAAGTCAACGATTTGACGATTCGAAACCCTAAGGGTCAACACCGGTCAACGCGTAACCCTAGGTCAACGCCAGTCAACGCGTTGCAACCAGAGTCAACGTTCGACGATCCAAAACCCTAAGGGTCAACGCTGGTCAACGCGTAACCCTAGGTCAACGCCGGTCAACGCGTTACAACACGAGTCAACGTTCGACGATCCAAAACCCTAAGGGTCAACGCCGGTCAACGCGTAACCCTAGGTCAGCGCCAGTCGATGCGTTGCGACAAAAGTCAACGTTCGAGGATTCAAAGTCCACACTAATCAACGTTCGACGATCCAAAACCCTAGGGTCAACGCCGGTCAACGCGTAACCCTAGGTCAACGCCAGTCAACGCGTTGCGACAAAAAGTCAACACACGGTGGTCCGAAACCCTAAGCCAGCACAATGTGACGGAGGTATAACTACAGGTCCTTACGCCGACTGAAGGCTAGACCAATCACATCCAAAGTATTCCAGCCTCTTCTATAAAAGAAACGAGTCCGGAACACTTTGGAGGGGGTATCTGTATGCATCGAAAATTGCCTATAGGTCTCCACGAACGGTTCAGTGTTAAAGAGCGACGATGAACGTCACTATCCGATCCACAGGAGTCTAATTGACATCGACGAACGATTGAAGTGAATCGACGAGCTACGTGAGCTGATAGGATTTCGGAACAACGAAGACCCGAGCCAATCGGTTCGTCATGCATCCAACGCACTTGGAATCACTCAAATCCGAGTTCAGACAAAGAATTTACGGGGAAAACAATCAAACATACGCAACGGAGCGTCTCAGGCGGAGTTGGGACACCCGGGGTGTCTCGGGAAAGTCGAAACACCCCAGGGGTGTCTAGGAAAAGCCTAGACACCCCAGGGTGTCTCGGCCAATCCGAGACACCCAGGGGTGTCTAGGCACCCTAGGAGCCCCCATTGCCTATAAATAGCCCCCTTGGGCCTCATTTTTGTAGATCGGGATTTTTGGAGAGCTTGGCGAAGCCCTGCTGCAGTGAAGAGTGGTCGAGCGCTTCAACCGAGGAGGAGAGGTCTTCATCAGAGCCTTCATCACCCCTTCCCCCCTTTCCTTAGTATTACCCTTCGCTGGTAATCACTAAGAAGAGCAGATATCTCGTTTTAGCCGAGATAGACGCTTCAGGCTTCTAGATCTCACGCGGATCAACGAAGCTCTGTCCGATTTTTCGGAACAGATCTGAGTGCCAGGTGGTCCACGGATATTGACGTCCCCGTCACAGGCAAAAGACCCACGCAAGCAGAAGACCGATAAACGATCTCTGCGTTTGTTTGAACGAGAGTTGTAACTTTTTTTGTTTTCATTGTGTAAGAGTCTTATAAAAAGGCAATCTTTTTGTTTCATTGTAACGATTGAAGTTGTAATGAATACAGCAATGAATACAACAACTTTCTCCGCAAACACCGCCATAGGAGATTCTATGGACGTATCGATATTGCAGCGGATAGTGGTGAGAGTTTGTAGAGCTTTTCAACAAACTCATGAGGATCGGCATGAAGGTCGTGAGCAGGTGGATCTTGAAGATACTACATATGTGCGTCAACGTAGACGTGATAGATCTTGCACGCACGACGATGAAGCTGGCTCGTCATAACAAGCTGGTTTGTCACAACAAGCTGGTCCGTCACAGCCCCACACACAACCGGAGAGCGAGCATATACAAGCTCAAGACAAAGGGGCCGCCGACGATCTCAACGGGTGCGAAGGCCGAGACAATGGGGGAGGGTGGATTTTTCCTTTGTTAGTTTTTCCATGTAGATTATATATTGTCGTATAGATTTATTGATGCATTTGGATTTATTCTACTTAAGCTACATATTATCGTATGGTTAGACTTAATGCATTTGGAATTATTTTGTGCTGATGTGAATTTTGGTAGAATTTTGGATGTGATGTTGTGATGATGTATTGTGTTGTGATAATGTGTATTTTTTAGATTTGTGTTATAATGTTCTAATTTTATAACTTTTATCAATGTATACAATGTTAGATGATATATTGTAGAGAAAATTTTGGTGAAAATTTTGGTTGTATGCTCAGCTAGAGGGTCATGCATGTTTTGTGCATGTTTTGACTCAGCCCAGCAAACATACGGGACTACTAGTCCCGTATGTTTGCTGGGCAGAGGCAAATTGTCTCTGCAAAATATACGGGACTAGTAATCCCGTATGTTTTCAAGGCACTTTTTTGAAAATCGACCTCTTTTTGGCCAACAGACCCAAAAGAGATCGATTTTGCTAAATATTTAGCAAAGTGGTCTAATTTGCTAAATATTTAGCAAAAGTGGTCTATTTTCAGAATTTTTCCAAGATTTAATGGAAATTTTCACTCATAGCATCTATCCCCAATTAAACCCAAAAAGGAAAAGCTAGATGCTTCAGTGCGGGTATGAGAAAATAAACCCGAACCCTTATCGGGTCCGGATCGCTTAGCGGATCTTTAGGGTAAATAATACGCAGTCCATTTTCCTCTCCTCAGATTCTCACGCACACTTTGTCCACTGAACAATGGAACAGGTATTCTTCTCCTCCCTTCCTTTCTGCTGTGCTCTCACCTTCGCCCTTCTCTATTTTAAATGGGTAATTATTATTATTCTTCATTTTTATTTTTTGCAAATTTTATTGATATTGGTATTGCTTCTGTAATTTTTTTTGGTGATTTCATGTGATTGATTCTTGTTTGAAATCAATTGTTCTTTTGCATTAGCATCATTGATCCTTGTTATGCTTTTTATTTTAATTGTTACTGCGGATTGGATTTATATCAATCCTTTTAGATTTCCGTAAAAGTTTGAATTTTTAATATAAAAATGAAAGTTATGGCTTCTATTGTGGCTTGGGGGAGTGATTTGCCATAGCGAGCGATCTTTTTGGCTGTTTTGCTTGTGAAGAATCTAATCGAGATTAGCAACGACGATGTTTCTTTTAATTGATCTGAAATATTATGAAGCAAGAAATACGATGAAATGAACTGGCAACGATGTGAAGCTAAACTTACTATTACTGTCAATAGGACCCAGTAGACTTATAACCATGATAGCCCAACCGTTTGGACCCAAGCTTGAGTTTACTTGAGATGATTTCAGATGAGTTGTGATCAAGGGACCATTCTCACTAGATTCTAAGGGTCGCAGTTTGTTCTGTATATTGTTGCTCTTCATGTTATCCATTAACATTTTTTTATAGGTTTCCCCCTAGAAACCACCTTTGAAATGGGGTCATTCTATGCAAACCACCTTTGATTGTCAATATATACGTAAACCACCTTTAAACGGGGTTTTTCCGCAATCAACCATCTGGACTCACTTTTAAGTCAAGTTGTTTTTTTTTTCCGGTTTTACTATAATAATTAGTGGTTAAATACCAAGTGTATTAGTAGATGTTCCTTAATTGAGGTTAGGTGGGGTCCTTTACCCAAAAAAATTAACCGAAAAGGGGGCCTAGGTGGTTGATTGCAACTAAAACCCTTCAAAAGTGGTTTATCTATAAATTTACAATCGAAGGTGGTTTTTATAGAACGACCCTATTTTAAAAGTGGCTTCTTGGAGGGAAATACTTCTTTATATTATAGATAAATAGTTGCAGTTTGAAATCAACAAGCACACACCAGAACGCATTGTTCCCCATCCCCTATGCTTAATTCGCATGCCACATTTAAGATGTACGGATTTGGTGGTCCATTGTCCTTTCTAAATGAAACACACTTCTTTCCTCAATAAAATTTTTGGTCACTAATTCAAGTGCCAAAAATGACATAGTTCCCCGTATCAGGATGGGGTGGGAAGGCCCTGTTATTTCACAAGAAAAGGATGATGCTGAAAAGAAATGGCATCAATATGGACACATTGTTAGTGGTGAAACTACACTCACTGGCACATGCACAGGACCTTCTGTTGATAGAGTTCTCTTCTCATGACCGTTAAAGTTAGATGATAAATATATATTCGTTTCCTCAAAATACTTTTATACACTGCCAATGAAAAGTACTTTTTGCGAAGAACAAGTACTTTTTAGTTAATATTATTCTGTTCGACTTGTAGCTATGTCATCTTCTTTTACAGTTAAGATATCTGAATCTATCTTAGGATTCAAGGGGTGTCAGTTTATCAAATTAGACACTTCTTATTCTAGTGAAAGTATAATTTTAAATTTACATTTATTACACTATTGATCCTTTAGTTTATTAAATTTGCAGGACTTTGGTGTTTGGAAAGACAAGGAGCTTTGAGTATCCCTCCTAGCAAATAATAGGCGCATATGCTCTTATGTAAAGGAGCTTGCATAGCTCGCAGCAGCGTCAACTTCCAGTAGATGTATGGTTCATATGTTGTTGCTTAAAAAAAGGATACATCGTGTATTGGCAAAGCTTGAGCTTTTGGGGATATGAGATACTAATTTACTGAAGAGGCGACAGTGAAAATGTTGCTATGGTCACTAATCACTGGTATTAGCTATTTCCATGATTAGCAAGCATGTAGTTTTAACTTGATAAGCCTGATGATGTCAGCATCATCCCATGTTTTCCTATTGCTTACTGCCATCAACCAACTTTTACTTTGAACAAATATTGCATCATTGTCCAAATAATCCTTAGATCGCCTTTTTGCCCCTTAAGTACAACTATCATGTGTTGATAGGTTTAATATCTCATTACCAATAGGAAAATTTTGCAACAAGCAAAGATAGAAAGACTGAAGCTGAAACTTCAATCACAAGCGGAATCTGAAACAAAACCAACTCAAGCAACTCTTGAATCGACTAGAAACACTTGAATTCACAAGGTAAATAATAGAAATCATAATTTTACTGGCAGAAAGATGATGAATACCCTATATTTTGTAATATCTTGTCTTCTGTCTTTTGTCTTTTGTGGAACAAAATAATAAAGATTTCTATGCAGCTGAGGTCTTCTAACTCCTACTAGGAACCCTTGTATCCGCAAAGTATGTAATGAAATTAGAATTTTACAAATGAAAAATGATGATGAATGCAATCATTCTGCCACAAACTCATCTTTGTTCGTGTTTTATAGAACAAAATGATGAAGACTCCTATTATATTAAGGACTCTTGGCTCTTAACCCGATGGTAACTAGAAATGAATCTACTACAAGATAGAAAAATAAATGAAACTCTAAGGGACAGCAAAGGCACAACTTTCACCTGAATGCGACCTGGGAACTGTGCAAATTGCTTGAAGGGATTCCTTTGACTAGCCTGGTAACTCACTCAACTGTAAACAAACTAATATTAACCAATTAAAATTCCCAATTTAAATCAATACTAAACCTGCCCAAACTGCCATACATGAAAAAGGTCGTCTCATTAATTTAATCAATTTACTCTTGTTTTGGTGCTGAAGACAGGTTGATTTGAAATGACACTTTTTCTCTAATTTGCAGGGTTTTGGCTTTTGGAAAGATAAGGAAAGTTGGTTATGCTTTAATTTCGAATCATAGACTCAGCTATTCTAGCTTACAGGTCCAGGGAACATTTTATACAAATGGTTTCCCTTTCCCTTGCCGAGCCTTTTCACAAGATAAGGCTTTTAAAAGAGGAAACCTGTTATTTAATACATACAGAGCTAACAAAAACCTATATAGGGATCTTAATATCAATAAATTCTCTGTTTCTTCAAACAATGGTTCAATCACATGTCAAGCCCTGGCGACATGGAAAAGGCTTTCTGTCTTGTCTTCTTATAGAGGACTTTCTTCTTCATTGCTAAGTAGAATGGCATGTGCAATGAGCTTGGCATTTACTAGATTCCATATGGTTCCTACTGTTCTGGCTTTTATTGGTGGAAATTTGGCATGCACCCAGCAAGCATTGGCGGATGGAGAGCGCTTCAAGACAAGGAACAATTTATGCATGCAAGCACAAGACAGAGATACTCATCTTGCTTTGGTTTTTTCAGTCTTGGAGATTTTTGTGTTGTTGGTAAGAGCACTATATCTGGCAATTTTATTCTCTCCAAGCATAGTGATGGCTCCACTTTCAGATACTTTAGGGATTAAGTACAGAAAAACATGGATTAGTCTGATACGCTATACTTTGGAAAAATCTGGTCCAGCTTTTATAAAATGGGGTCAGTGGGCTGCTACAAGACCAGACCTTTTTGCTGATGATCTTTGCAGTGAGCTGGCAAAGCTTCATAGCAAAGCACCGGCACATGGCTTTTCTTATACTAAAAAAGTGATTGAAAAAGCATTTGGCCGCAAGCTTTCTGATATCTTTGAGAATTTTGAAGAAGATCCAGTGGCATCTGGTAGCATCGCTCAAGTACACCGAGCTTCTTTAAGTTTCCGATATCCCGGTCAACAATCAAAGAAAATGGTTGTTGCAGTAAAAGTTAGACATCCTGGTGTTAGCGAATCAATAAGGAGAGATTTCATGATTATTAATACAGTGGCTAAAGTCTCAAGGTTTATACCTGCTCTGAAGTGGCTGCGCTTGGATGAGAGTGTTCAACAGTTTGCAGTTTTCATGATGTCTCAAGTTGATCTTGCAAGAGAAGCTGCTCATTTGAGTAGGTTTATCTACAATTTCCGCCGGTGGAAAGATGTTTCTTTTCCAAGGCCTCTATATCCGCTAGTACATCCTGCTGTTTTAGTGGAGACATATGAACAAGGAGAAAAAATTTCTCATTATGTTGATGAGCTTGAAGGAAATAACCAGGTTAAAAGTGCTCTTGCTCACATTGGGAGTAATGCACTCCTCAAGATGCTGTTGGTATGTATTCTGTGTTGAGTCAATTTATACGCTGATTGAATTTTATGTCACTCTTCCTATTATTACCTGCCAGATTTTTTTTCTTCTATGGGGGCACATAGACAATTAAACATATAAATAAATATATTAGATAATGTTAACTCTTGGAATAGTAATACTTATATACAATAATCACAAAGATATTGACATATTATACTTTTTTCATTATCATATTCATATCAATACTTAATCATTTCATTTTCATCACAAAAACTAATAAAATAATAAGTTCCAACAATAGTTTTTAGCAATTTTTCTCTACGTGGGGGGCACCGCCTAAAAAATAATATGGCGGCACCTAGCAAAATTAAGGATATAATTACTTAAAAATTTTGGCAAGTGAGTGGGGGCACGTGCCCCCACACCATACACCCTAGATCTGCCCTTGTGTGTAATGAACAAATAATACAGGCATATTTTTATGGAATTATTTTCTGTCCAGTTTTTTGGGTCTTCTCTTGCATATCCACTTTATTATAGTCGAAAAAATTGGTAGTGTTTTGCAAGTTTTGTCCTCTTCTGTCCCATTATTCCTGGAGGGGCGTACATATTTCCTTCTATCCTTCGGCAGAATTCTTTTACCTGTATCTTTTAACTCCTTTTATACATACTACTGTGTTTCAGCTGAATGTGATTATAAATTATTACTTTTTCTGGACTATCATGTTTGTTTAGATTATATTTGTTAACATCTTTCGGTATAACTTGTACTTTTTTGTTATGCTCTTTTTTTTTCAGGTAGACAATTTTATCCATGCAGATTTGCACCCTGGCAATATACTTGTTCGAGAATCTCGATGGAGAAGTTCAAATAAGGGGTTACTTAAACCAAAGCCTCATGTTGTTTTCCTTGATGTGGGCATGACTGCTGAACTCTCTAGCAGTGACCGTATAAATCTGCTGGAGTTTTTTAAGGCTGTTTCCCTTCGAGATGGACGTAGAGCTGCACGAAGCACCTTGATGTTATCTAAACAGCAGAACTGTCCAAATCCAAAAGCTTTTGTGGAGGTATCTTCATAACAGTGATTTGATTCATAATTCCAATTACTGGTGCTTCTCTGGCTTGCATCGTTCTAATTTACACATTGTCTATTGATCACGTATAGTTTCTTTGGATCTCCACTTATGTCTCCCTCCATAATTTAATAATTTTAGTATAGCCATGAAAATATGGCGATTTTGTCATTGAAAATTTCCCCACTTAAGGAGATAATGTGTACCTGATATTTGGTTCAACTAGATAAATTCACATATAGCTTTCATCTGAGTCAAAATTATTCAGAAAACAATATGAGTTGAACAATTAAGGAGAGTGAGGTAAAGAAGAGTAGAAGACAAATGAAAAAGGGGAAAGCATGGTTGTGTATTTAAACAGCATTATAAAACAGGTAGACGTGATTATCATTTGAAGTGATTGTCAGTGCATGCTAAAACTAAACTCATTTCACAATTTTCTGAATGTTAATTTTAATCTAGTTAAAGTTGAAAATTTTAAGAAGCTATCTACCACTGTCCCACTATGGTTGTATTTCAATGCGTGTTGTGCCTCTATTGGGAGCACTTGGTTTTCTTATGTTTCTATTTTCATTCCTGATCTTTTCATTTTATGGTACCCTATGTTCATGTAAGTAGTCTCTTTCATTTTCCTGTTTTCCACTAATAACATTGTTATCTCTTCTTCTTTTTCCCCCCTTTGTTGTTGGAGGCCCTCCTTTGTGTTTGCATGTGACTGCCATTATGTTACTCTCCGCTAAAACATAGGATCATTTTATTTGTAATATGATGTAATATGGTATTTCTAGTATGCTGCATATATTCCAAGGGTAATTTCATTGCACTGCATATTTTCATGGAACTTTTTGAAGTACAATGACGACTGTATTTAGCCTGTTGTATCATTTTTATATAAGCATGTAACCTGGCCAGTAGTTTGGAAAGTTGCTGTGAATCTCCATTTCTTGTATTTTCAGTTCTTATTAGGCCATAATATTACCAGGTATCAAATTGTACTGGACCTTACTATGTCACTTATATAGTTATATGTTGACCAATGTTTAGTATTTAAACTGTATTTCTAATTTGCGATTAGTTCGATCAATTCTTGACTAAGACAATGGGATTTCATTGGTTTTTCTGTGAAAGTTAATTTAGGCATACAATACACAACATCCACTCTTCAGTTACAATATTTATGTTTAGTATTTTTTTTCTTTAGTTACAATACTTATATAGTTATATCGTATCTTTAAATGACATGTCACTTTGAGATTATCTAGTATCCACTTCTATGTTTAAGTTTTGTTCAAATATCTTCGTGTGTGCATGGGAGTGAAAAGAGTTCTTTAATGAAACAGGAAGTTGAGAAGATGTTCACCTTTTGGGAGAGTCCTGAATGTGAAAATGTTCATTCAGCTGAGTGCATGCAACAACTGCTCGAGCTAGTTCGATGTCATAAAGTCAATATTAATGGAAATATTTGCACGGTGATGGTAACTACATTGGTTCTGGAGGTATTATCACTTAATTCGCTACATATCTAAGTGTGGCTTCACTTAAAATTTGGCAAATGCATTGATGCATTTTGCAAATTATCTGGCATTGAATGGAGGATCTTGATAACTCAAATCAACTTTTTAGGAGAATCTTTATAACATATTTTCCCTTGGGGAAAGAACGTCTGAGGCATTCCCAGAAATATTTATGTAATATTTTATCACAAACTACAGTAGAACATCAACAATAGTAAACTAATCATGACACAAGCTGTCCGTGTTCAAACAAGATTTCAAAAAAGAAAATGTGAGTATTTTTCATCTGCACAATTGTGACTGTTTGATGAAAATATTAAGATTTTGGTGGGTAGTTTAGCAAATATGCATGATTTAAGGGGTATATATTTTTTAAAAAACTTACATATTTCTAATTAGAATATTTGCTAGATATTGAATGCATTTATTGAAATTAAACATCCTACCACAGGGTTGGCAGCGGAAGCTGGATCCGGATTATGATGTGATGCAAACTCTGCAGGCATTGCTGTTCAAATCTGATTGGGCAGAATCGTTATCATACACCATCAAGGGACTTGCGGCACCTTGAAGAGGGTTTTGTGTTTTTCTGTCAGTTCATACTCTTATTTTACTGGAGATATCAGCAAATAAGTTTTCCCCATCAATTAGTTCATCTTCATTTTAAAATTACTCTATGCACTTGCATACTGTTTTTTGTGTGGTCAAACTTCGTTGCGGCGAATGTGATTAAGTTTCTTGTAATAAAGCGGGTTTTTACATGTAATCTAATTCGTAATTTTTTGGATTTTGTAATCTTTTAGCTGGGCAATTCCGCACCTCTGTGAAAGTACAGTTATAAACTGGCCTGTAGCTGAAACATTGGAGGTGGAACAAAATGGGGGCTCTGCTTTCTACATTAATTATTGTCAAATCCTGTTATGTAACAGATCAGTTTTTTTTTTTTTTGAACTGTAGAGGGTGAGATTTTGACAGAGGCAAGCAAAGTTGTGCCCAAATTGAGTTTCTTTTAGTTTGAAAACTGGAGCTTGAATTGGGCATCAGCTTGACTAGTACCTGCGAGTAGCAAAAGTTACCAGCTTATTTATATAAGGAAAGTGAAGCTTGTTTGAAATTCATGTTATGGTTCGAACATGCTCATCTGCCATTCTACTTAATCAGGCTGCATGCCATTCCCCTCAATACCAAAACGAACAATGACAATGGTTAAATTGTGAAAGCTCCATATACATTACTGAAATAGTTTCATCAAGGCTTCAGATGATCTAAATTTCTAGCTTGTTGGTGCATGTAGCATGACCAATTAGGTCATTAGCTGGTTATTCTAAAACCAAGATTTAAAGAATTGAGTTCAGAGCCAGGCCTGAGTAAGTTACATTCGAGGTCGAAGAGTAGGCAGCATTTGTTTGCTTGTTAATTTCGATTTTCTGAACCTGTTTACATTGAAATTCTCAATATACACACCGGCAACAATTTGCCCTCAATCCGCTATACAACACATGCAAATTTAAACAAGCAAGTAAAGGAAACCAATTAAAACATGTACACTTCAATAGTATACACTACACTGTACAAGGCTTTAGTTCCAACAGGTTGTCATATATATTCGACGTATACAAAAGTTCTCCTTTGGATGAGCATTAAGATATAAACAAATACAAGACAATATAAAATATAAGTGCTTTTCAGCTGGAGAATTCAGAAAAGATAGGAAGTGAAAAGAAAATGCTAGCGAACCCTGACGGGTCAACAAAACAAAAAGCAACTTTAAGATGCATACTACCAAGCTGATCTGCAGAGAACAAGAAAGACACAGTTGATTCCTGATGAATCCACCAACAGAGCAAGGTTAAGCCTCACCATCTACATCCTCTCCACTTGAAGTGCTTGAATGGGAAGATCTTTGCAGTAATTACATTGATATAAACAAAAAAAATAAAAGCATCAAGTTTAAGAAGAGATTACATGCTACAACAAGAAGAAAATGAATTGAAAACACATAATATAGAAAGGACCAAGGTCAACAGCTAATGGTACAAAAGGATTACTGTTTATGTCGGTTTTACATTATATTGTCCATTCTTTTTCTTATTTGTTTTGCCTCCTATTGACATTCATGCTCAACAGTTAATAGTATTTGTGTCGACTTCTTGATAATTATTTCTAGTGTTACTTGGTTTTATTTGTCATTTTATTTTGAAGAAAATGTGTTGAAACAGAAAACTCATCAATTTCACGTTTTATGTGTACTTTTAGAGAAGTGGCATTGCAAAAGAATCTTTCTTTTTAATCTGAGAACTCATGTCATGTTTTAGGTCATCCTATTTGTACATTACCTCAATGGAATGATATTGCACCAACCTCAATTATATAATATCCCAGAACGTAAATTGTAACATTTTATAAGAGGTAGAGATTGCAGGATTCAAATTCAAACGAACGTCCCAAACACCTTTGAATAAATGTTGCTGCTGCTGCTTTGTACTCTATAGGTCAGCTTCATATATTCTTAATAGGCCAAATTCATCTCATCTGTTTATCCATATCTTTCCTTTACCAAGTTGCATGTGTTTAGTTCGACACCAATCCTTGTAAGACAAAGTTAGATCATAGGACTTTTAGGTGTAACTTTTAGCATAATCTACGACACAAAGGGTCAAAAATGTTCTTACTTAGACTCTAATTAAAAAATAAAAAATAGTTCAAGAGATGTTGGATCGAAACCTTCCCTTCTGCACAAGCAGCTTTGAGTTGGGTAATAAGTTCATGTTCCTCTTGCTCCTGGTATATCATAACAACGCACCCTTCTAGCCCTTCAGATATGGAATATTTGCTACCAAAAATGATCGGGATCACTTGGTCTGCAAGAGATCTCATTCTAACAACAGTCAGTACCTACGCCAATTTTTCTGTAGCTCCAGCTTATGACTTCAATATGCCTATTATACCTTGCAGGGTACTCATAGTTGCAATTCACATCCTCTATAAATTTATTTCTTATACTCATTTATACAATTTATATAATTATCTTTGATTCCATGACCCTCTTCGAAGTCTGTGTCATAGGCTTCTTTCAAGAGAAAATGACAACGTTGGAACTAATGAAACATAAGGTTTGGTACCTCCCCCAGGTGGTAAGGTTGTGGTTAGATTAGGTGAGTGTATATTCTGAGTTAGTAAGATACATTGTGATGGTCCTTTGACTTGGTTGAGGACTAAATTAGTAGGAAAGTGGTACTCCCAGATCTACCCTGAAGATCACCAGAAATGTTCTTTCCCCTCGTATCTGATATGCACAAGAAGCTGGGAGCACTAAATAAAGAACACATAATCCTTAAAGGATAGATATATAGATTACAAAATATGAAGATTATTGCAGCGTTTAGTTTGAGTTTTAACCAGTACCAGATCCTGTTTAATGGATGGCCTTTTATAGCACTACAATAAATAAACGATAGAAAAAGATAACCAAGCAAATGCCATAAAGATATTCACTCTAAGGCTAACCAGCCCTGGTACAAAGCATGGAGTCATAGTTTTGAACCTTTTCCACCAAAGAAAAACATAAAACTGCCTTAAACCAACTAACTCGCTGCATCTTATTTGTCACTTTCCAGTGTGTTAACCATACTGTTTAACTGTTTTCAGTGATCATTGACCTGCCAACAAACATGTACACCAGTGCTATGAAAGAAAGGGAATCCAGTCGCACATACAAGCCACTTTGGTTAACTGGTCGATGCTAACTGATGGTCTCATGAAGTGTAGCCAGAAAATTCAACGATAGTCGAGTTACCAGAACATTGTGCATGAATAGAACAGCTTGTAAGTAATCTTATTGAAGAAAAAAAACAAAGAAAACTTACTAAAAAAAGAAAATATTAACTAATTTGAAGAGGGTTCGCTTTCCGTATGTTTTCCAAACAACCTCAGTGCAAGTGCATAGACATGCTTTCTCTTTGCTGCTCTTCCTTCAGCAACCAACTTCACTGCCTAGTGTGTATTAAATTAGAAGAAAGTAATCACACATAATAAAATCAGTATATATCGAGAAACTTAAAAGATAAGCAGGTCATTTTTTTATCTTACTCCAAAGAGAAAGTTACATGTGGATTAATTTAAAATGAGAAAAATAACTCACAATCGAAGAGTTTATTAAGATAATGCCACCATTACTAAGCAAAAACTTCACCTGATATAACAGAAACCTGGGGGAAAAACTTTTGTTTATGTAGGTTTACACTATCATCAATCTAACAGCAAGCAGAACATGTAAAGTGACTGCACAATGTAAATACAAAATAAATGCGATTAATATTAGACGGTCGAAATTCTCAACCATTTGCAAAAATTATTGATCCTAATTGATCTATAGCAATTACTATTGCTCAGATATGATCATTTATATAAGCTAAAATAATTCCATGGTTTCACAGAATTAGCTTGTGATGCTCCAAGTATTATAGTTGTACATCGTCTGTTGGTGATAGTGGGATGTGCTAATTGTCATAGACTCACACTGTGATAAGGACATCGCGTATTAATGGCGTGGTGCTTGTGACGCCCCAAATATTATAGTCCCACATCGGGAACTACAAAGAGTTTGAATGTTTTAAAATGATAAGCTTAAGGCTCAAGTGTAGCATCAGCCTGTTGGTTATAACATTTTGGGCTTTGCTCTATCTGAAGCTATTGCATCATTCGCTCTTATGTATCTGGAAGGGAATCCTACGTTTAAGTGATAACTGATAACGTTAAGGCACTTGATTATAGAATGCTAACTCAAATGGCAAAAAGAGTTCAAGTAAACTAAGCTTTGTGTTCTTAATGCAAGGTTACTACATAAGACACATTTTATGTTTCAGTTGATGCGTCTTTACTTCTGAGATAGGGCATGAGTTTTATGCCTCTGGCAAATGCCCATGCCACCTCTTTAACCCAAGCTTCTTCCTCCACAGAACTGTCTGTCTGTATAAATGCCCGTTCAAATATGCACAAACATGTTTTATATATTTCTCAATACAAAAGAGTCCAGTAGATATACCCTCCTTTCAGCAGGGAAAAGCAGCTCATGTTGCTGAACAAAAAAGAAGTTTAGGGTTGCAACTTTCAAGGCACATTTGAGAATGACATTAACTTATTAGCATTAGCTGTTAGTAAAGAGGTTTTACAGGATTCATTTAGGATTAAAAACAAAACATATGGGGATGTTTTTACATACAAGGAGAAGGAAGCGCACATGATTGAGAAAGGTCTATTTAAAAATAATATTCAAGAGAATGACATAATTTAATGGGGACTTAACCCAAACCATTGTAACTCTATAAAGTTAAGAAACCGTATGATTGTTTAAAGATGGATGTTTTGAGTACTCGTGTGGAAATTATAATTAAATCATCTACTGAAGTATTGTTCTGAGACCCAAGTTTATAGTATATCATCTCTGGTTGACCTGAAACTAAAAAAGTGGTCCTTCAACTACCTATAATAGTAATGTTCGCTTAGCTGGTATATGGAAAATAATGGATGAGAACAAAACTGACAAATATAACACACATGTAACAAAGTCGAAGGAAGAGCAGTTATGAACTTCAATGAATACCATGGAAATACTGTGCCCATTTGAGACAAAGGATCTTAGTTCATGCTCCAGTTCAGACTCTGATGGAGTTTCAGCAACAAATTTCTCCTTTCCTTCTACTATAACTGTAATTTCTCCCTTTGGATGTCGACTAGAGAATATTCTATTAGCTTCCCCCAAGGTGCCACGCCAAAACTGTTTCCAAGATGATATACATATCATTACCAATCTAGAAATAAAAAAAGCCATACAGAATTACATATACACGTCATGATACTAATTGCACATAATCACATTATAAATCCATGTTAATGAACATAATGAATCAGTAATGGTCAATGATAGTTCTATTTAGATGTTATATTGGCAACATAATGCTTACACCAAATATGAAATCATAAGACATGAAGGAAAAATAAGATGGAGATGAGTCTTTCTGATTTCTTATTGTCAAGAAGCACTACATAAAATAAATGGGATTCTCTGATCTTGCTGAATAAACAGAAATATTTCCCCGTACTTGACTACTTCCCATAACACATGCCCTATTGACTATGAATTGTGATGTCTACCTTAAAAGGACACATGCATATATACATGCAGCCTACCTTTTAAGGATTTGTTTTGTCTCCGTGACAAGGTGTGCCATATCTGTATATTGCTTCCTGGGAGAATAGATGGAGGTACAAGAGCTGAACCAAACTGGTTTCAGCTTGGTATTAGTTGTCAAGATAAGAGAATATTGTTAATTTAGCATTGGCATGAAGAGAACCGAGTAATACTATATATAGGGTTATGAGTTGTGAGAGAACGAGCTGAATAGCTGAGTAAAAACAAAAAAGATAAGAGCATTGACAGAAATCAACACTAAGTTGGATCCATAAGGAATATGAACTTAGATTTTAAGCTAGAAACATGAGTAGAGATGAGTTCAGAAGTATCCAACAGAGATATGCTCTTGGAAGGTTACTATGTGTAATCAACGATAAGCATAGTTGCAACAACAAGACTCCACTGAGCAAGAAATAAATGTTTCAATAACTTCTAAACCTACAGTTTTACTCTTCAAAGTTCAAAACATGACAAGAAAAAGGACTAAAATATGAACAAGCATTTGCAGTACCTACAGAATCCACGGTAACTTTAAGTCTTTAACCATAGATTTTGTTGAAGTTGCTTTTGTTTCTCCCTAATACCCAGCTACAAACTAGGGTTTGAATTATGTGTAACATTATAAGTAAATAATGCAAACAAAAAAGTTCAAAACATGACAAGAAAAGAGACTAAATTATGAAAAAACATTTGCAAAAAAGTTGATAGTTGTTACTAAGTAGAACATTCAAGAAGAATAGTGCTAATACAACAACTGAAAAGCACTTACAGTTTTGACAGCTATATAGTGTGGTCTGTGAATAGGAAGTAAAAATTATCAAACATAAGGTTTAATTGATAGGTAGTTATGAATGAAATTTACCTCCTCGTGCAGTTTGGTCAACTCTCGAGCAATAACACACAACCTGTTATGTACCAAGTAATATAAATTTATTATTGGTTAACCTTCTCCCAGCAATATGGTTCATCTATAAATAAATAAAGAGGATCATTCAACATCCTTTCATCTAAGATAAAATATACTCAAACAGAAATAAAGGTCAAATATGTTGTTAATAGAAATAGATTATTGTCGGAGTTTAAACACCACAAGTTTTGAGAAAAGATGCATCTTCCCTAATACCTGAGGCAATCATCAATTAAATTTGTGGAACATAATGATATAAGGAAAAAGACTTGTGTCTATGCATGTGAGTCTATGGGTGGATGAATCTGGTTATTTTCAGAGAGAACATATGGTGTAAAATGGACTATACTTTGTTGACTGTAATCAGAGAGCAAGAGATCTATTGAGAGATTGAAATGAGGACTAGGAGTAAGGACGACATTTGATGCAAGAAATGCCAACGTAAGCCAGCATTAGCCTAATCTGTACTAAAAAATTCTCATGATAATTTTGTGTGGCCATCCATCACAACCACAATCAGCAAAGGTAAACTTTGGTTATCTATGAAACTGCAGTAACCAAACAGAAGCATGGCTTCCCCACATCAAAGTAAATCAGGACATTTCCTAAGAATGTTTGGTCATTAACCAAATGGTTACTAGCAGGGTCATGACCTTTTCTAAAGAAGTCCTGATTCATCAAAATAGTGTAGGAAGACAAATCCCGGTTTCAATAGTAGAAAACTGAGAGGTGTCTCTATATGCATAATAGGCATCAATAACAGCAGTAAGATGAGGACTAGGTAACCTATATATTATTGAGGTAATCAGTCTTATCTCATATAAGAAAAACATAAGCCTAAAAATTTATAAATAAGTGTTAAATAGCTGGATAACAACTTAGTGAAGAGAAGATATAATGTTGAAAATCTTTTTTTATTCTTCCTGCCTGCAACTAGTCAAACATGATACTAAACCAAGATAATCTTTCTTCTTCCAAGTCATCAACACTTTATCTAATATCTTGGATTAAAGATGGATTGAACATATTCCTCAATCCTCAGACACCTCTTCTTTTTAGTTCTCTTCCCATATTAATATACTAAATAACAGTTCGTAGAAATTAAGCAGTTGTAAAGTTATGGTCTTTTAAGCTTTTTCACCTTATGAAATATGTAGTCAGCATCCAGCTTAGGTATGAGACTGATTGTCACACAAACTGGATCCTAGCTTTCTGCAGTTCATCTTGTTTACACTCAACTAAGCTTGACTAAGAAGTCAATATTATTGAAGCAGACGATAGAAGCTTGGTTGATCTTTTGTGAAGTCCTCCACATGTTACTTAATAACCCCCCCCCCCCCCCACCCCCCCCTGCCACAAATGCCCATGCAAACCCACAAACATTCACAAGCAAGCCAATTAATGTACATAGAAACTTGTATCACCGTGGGCGCACTCAAATGCAAAAGCATGCATGCATCCATACAAATGCACACACATGAATGCATGCACCCTAAGTTGCATGGAACGGGGTTCATTCTGATTCATGAATGGGAAGGGGAACATGGTACAACACTTATTGGAACCAAGGACGAGGGGTGGGCTTATACAATATGCCAGGGAATGTGGTATAATATAGGTTTGGTTTTTAAATGTAAGAATCTGAGGTCTCGCAAGAGTCAAATAAAGCAACGGGGTTAGATGATATCAATAATGGTAAAAGGACCTTGGGAATCATGTTATAATCACGGCAAGCAACTATGCGTACTTTATTTGTTTAATTTCTCACATTTTTTGTCATTTCTTTTTATGAAAACCAGTTATTTTTCTTAAAAATTTAACCAGTTTTGAATTCTAAATCGGGTCACTGGAGTTCACGAACAGGGTTGTGTTCCACCATGATCCAATATGCTAATGTACCATTTTCCAAAGATTGACCCAGATCACAATTCACTATACCATCCCGTGTTCCTAACAACTATGGTATGCACATACCTACAAACAACCAGGCACGATTACATACTCAAAAATGAACACAACGCCCTTGTCCAAAGCTCAGGACTCAACAAACCAATCCTTGAGGGGAGATTCGACTTGGTTTTCTAGTCATCATAGCAGTGATAATGGCTTCCTTTAACTCTTGAAAATATGTTTATGGCCTTAGCAAGGAAGCTAGTCATCATAGCAGTGATAATGGCTTCCTTTAACTCTTGAAAATATGTTTATGGCCTTAGCAAGGAAGTGGGAGTGTACATACTTAGTAGGCTAGAAAAAGGTGAGGTAAGGTGACAAGAATTATTATTATGAAAGCATTATGAAATCTTCTAATGAGAGAAAAAAATTAAGAAAGGGAATACAGTATATACAACTGAACGAAGTAAAATAGGACCTGACAGATACTGGTCCGTGGATATTTTATCTTCATAAGAAATAATGTTAAGTGACCTTGTTATCTAGTTAATATATTCCCTATGTGCAATATCAGTGATCAAACCTGCTCTTAGATATTTCTTTTGACACTTCTCCTCTACTACTAGTAATCATGACCAGCTACTACATTGTTCAATAAGTCAAGACAAATTACTTCCTCTAAAGTTAAAAAACATCAAATAATAATAATGTGAATATTTACCTGAGTAATTTGTATTTCCACTAAAAATCAGTAAATATATGTCCTTTTTTAGGACAAAATTTCAAAATAGACCCTATTAGAACTTTATTTGTAAAAATCGACCCATTTGCAATTTATTCACCATTTTTGACCTGAAACCAGCCAACTGGCTAAAATTGGGTTGAAAATAGTAAATAAAACTTCATGGGATTCTAAATCCCGTGAAGTTTAGTGCCTAATTACCCAACCTAATCGTGATTAGGCTGAGTAATTTAGCGACTAAACTTCACGGAATTTAGAATCTCGTGAAGTTTTCGAGATTTATTTACCATTTTTGACCCAGTTTCAGCCACTCAAAAGAGGTTGATTTTTACAAATAAAGTTCTATTAGAGTCTATTTTGAAAATTTGTCCCTTTTTTAATAACCAAATATATGCCCCAATTTTAAGACTTCTATATGCTACCAGAGTATGAAACCCGACCCAAATCAGAGCTTAAATCAGATGCCAACTAAACTGTGCACCGTTAGTTTTCGTGTCTTGTTTTAGGACCAATGACATATCAAAGAACAATCTAATCTAATTATGATCTATGAATGTTCTATAAATTATGAAACACATACATTTCAAAGTGACTCCGATCCATATTCAACACTTATTGGACATTAGTTCTAGTACGGCACTTGCTTGATACCAATTAGATAATGCAGCATCCATGTCAACTCCTGTATTCCAAACACCATGCCAGCTTTAATATCAAAAAATTTGTGACGAACATCTTGAAGCTGTAAGTTTGATGACACATACATAAAAGTTCTTTTTTTTTTGCCATAAATAATGTTTCAGCAGAATCTAAAGACTTTACAAACATGCCACAACATAAGCTTTTATGTCAAGCATTGGATTAGACTTTCAGATTTCTTTGTTTGATTTCAAGTATTGATTAAAATTTAGAATCTATGAATTTATATCATTAGGTTTAATTTGAACTTTTCTATTCATCCTGTCCTCATAAATAGTTGTTTTGATGTCAACTATATAGATATATACAGCTAGTGCACGCACTGATGCATGCAGTACACATACACACGTGCGAACGGTGGTACATGTACGCATGCACGTGTGTGCACGCACTCATGCACCCCCTCCCCCACCACATGCATATATGAAATCATATTATGTCCTTGATTCCTACTTTTTTAAGGACTTGCCAAGTCACTGTGCACATATTTTCTTGTATCTCTGTCCGGCGTTTCTATCCGCACTTCCTAGAAAATGGCTATAGGATATGCTATCGAACGGATTTGTTTATATTTACGATGAAAAAAAATTTAGCTGCACAAAAAAGCAAGGCAAAGATCATAAATCTTTCTAAACGTTAAAAAGCTAAGTAGTAATCAGGCTAAGTGCAGTAGTACTAGATGGCAACTTTTTTTCTAGCAGAAGGTAAACTTCATGATATTTTTTTTTTCAGACAACCACTACATGACCATGACCATCATTAGATACCATCTAAAAAAATTGTAGGTCATTTTGACTTTAGTATTATAATAGAACCAAAGATTTTCATTTCTTTGTTTACCTTGAATCCCCAAATACTGGCAAGGCCTCATCAAGAAATTCTTGAAGTTTGTGAGGAGGAACATAGAAAATCTGTGTTTCTGTCTGATCAGAAGCAACCAGCAGTCTCTCTCTTCTCGATCCAGCATGCTTGGGTAGAAAACCAACTACGCAAACAGGAATTCAAACGAAGACTTAATAGTCTATATAAAGGTACATCAGTTTCTAGAAATGGTTATGGAATTTTCAGTGCATTACCAAATGTGAATTCATTGGTAGGCAACCCAGAGGCAGAAAGGGCAGTAACCAGTGCAGATGGTCCAGGAATAGGAATAACAGGGATATTTTCACCCGCACATAACTTTGCCTATAACACGATTACAACCAGGATGTCAGCAATGTCTAAAATAAATTTTCTGTAGATAAAGTTGTGCCAAGTCTATAAACAAGTGATGTTACTGAATGTGGTAAGATTCATGATATGATTACTGGGTGCATACTGCATATACTATGCTGCTATACATATATAGCCACATATGTCATGCCATGCAAAAAATACAATGACCATAAAGTGCATAGTAATGACAGATTTTATTACACTGTTGAATGTGGTTTATAGCATTAATAGAGATGAAACTTTATATTAGGTAGTTATTTTCAAGTAAAGATAACCAAATGTAAGTTAATGATAAATTTGCAACTACCATGTAAGGTAACAAGCTTAAGTAAATAAAATGTGAAAATAAAATTTATATAAAATGCATTAATATCTCTTGCCAGCATCAATAACGCCCTAAGACAAAGTGGCACAACCAAGCTAACTATTCGTAGACTCGTAGTCAAACAACTGAAAACATGACACCACAATAAGTAGATCTAATAAGGAGCAGATGATAGGAACTTCACAACAAAATGGTGCAAATTACAACAAATAGTAAGTTAAACTGGTTTGTTTTAAGGTCTCAAAACCGAGCACGAATATGCCAGTGTGCTACATATCTACATACATGAGGCCTCATAGCCAAATATGCCACTGCACTATGTCTGCATGTAGCCATTTCTATGCAGCCAAGGGGCAGACACATTATTATTTACAACATTGTTTATAAGGATGTATCAGAAGCTGAAGAGATAGTTAAAACTTGATTATGAAATAGAAATACCTACAAGTTCTGCACCCGGATCATTAATACCCGGAGTACCAGCATCACTAATCAAAGCAATAGTTTGACCCTGATGTAGCTTTTGTAAAATTGCAGCCTCACGTTGGGCTTCATTGAATTTGTGATAACTAAGCTGCAAGACCAAGATTAGAACTTTTAGATAAAAATTCTACCTTGCAAGACCAATTGATGCTCAGTGTTCTGAATTTAGAATACAGAACTTACCAGGGGAGTCTTAATATTATAGTACCGAAGCAACTTCCCAGAATGTCTTGTATCTTCAGCAAGTATCACATCTGCAGATTTGAGTACCCTCAATGCTCTGCACTTGGTAATGTTAAGATGAATTATGAGCTATTCAGAAGAGAGAAAGTTTGGAAGGTCCTGGTTGAACTAAAGTGCAACAAAATTTTCTAATATTGCACAAAATGAAGAAATGAAATTCTAAGTCCATTGTCATAAAATAGACATAGTAAAAAAAAGTCAATTTCAGTAATTCAGGTTCCCACTACTCCTGTTGGTGGATGCACAGAATACTGTGGAGTTAATTGGACTGTAAAACCAAATTTGGACCACTTAGTTTGTACTTGGATATCGAAAGTCTGTTGCACCAACTGGTCATGTAATTTAATCAAACTATCCACTCTAGTACTGCAGTGTTCTACCATATTTAGTATAGGAATGATGGTGTGCTTATCCTCTATTATTTTAGCTTGATTTTTCCTCAGAACGATCACAACGACAACCAAGTTTTGCAGAGACTCCAAAGTACCCCTACATCCAGTAAATAAAGTTTCATCACCTATCCCTCCTGAATCCTCATCATCATCATCTATGCCTTTCACCCTTTCACCTTAAGTACCTGTTTCTTTTTCCTTCATATGTTCCTTTTTAATATTCCTAATGAAACACATTCTACATCATAAGAGCATCAAGACAGTTGCTATATGTACATGAACATAAAAAGTATAATTGGAAAAAATTGCAGTTAAGTCAACTTACAACTGTCAAAGCTCTTTGGCAAGACCCTCACTTTCTCATTGTTGACAGCCAGTCAGAAAACTTGTCAAATCATTTCTGGACATTTTTCTACTTTAAATGCTCAATTGCATGTCCTATTTTCATGGGAAAAGGCTTAAATGACAGCCATGATATTATCAACAACAGAGAACAGACTTTTACGAACAACTAAACTGGCAATAAGTTATGTTGACAGTTATGTGTGAGATCTCTACATTCAGTTGTGTGAGATCTCTACATTCAGCTAAACTTTCAGTTACAATCATATCTGAGATTCAGTTACAACCATATATCTGTATATTGTTCATAGTATAAGGCTGAAATCAAGAGGCTCTACCTGTATATAGTTACAAGAATCCATGGCTATAATCAAGAGATTTAGCCTTATCATTGTACTCTACATCTCTATATATAGAAGATAATACGGAGAAAGGAATCAGAAAATTCCAACATATATTCCTCCTTCTATTTGTTTCTCTACATTGCATACTGTGCTTTTCTAACATGGTATCAGAGTAAATGGCTTCCGATGCAACATCAGAAATCCCTCTCAGCTCTTCCTCTCTTCCAACAGTGAAGGCCATTAGGCAAGAGGTCTCCATCAAATTACTCTCCACAAACTACTTCCCCTGGCGCACACAAGTTCTTCATGTTCTCCGTTGTCATGGTCTTATTGGACTTGTGGACGGAACTCTTCCTCGACCTGATGATGAATCGTCAGAAGTAGCTCAATGGATCCGACTCGACCAATTGGTGCTAGCATGGCTCACAAATAGCCTCTCTGAATCATCAAGTTGGTACTTGTACAACCTCTGCAGAGATGTGGCGTACACTTGAGATCCTCTATGGCACTTTGACTCGCTCGCGGGTTCAACAACTTCGCTTCGAACTTCAGTCACTCTCAAAAGGTGCACACTCTATCTCTGATTTTGTGTCTCAGGCTAAATCTCTTGCTCAAATCCTTGCTAGCGCTGGCAAACCGGTTGATGAAGATGATCTTATCTCATGGATTCTGCGCGGCCTCGAGTCTGAATTCGATCCTATTGTTGCTGCAGTCAACATCTCACGAGAGCCTCTTTCAGTCGATGAGGTCATCGCTCTATTGCTGGATTTTGAGCTCCGCATCAAATCCACAAAGATAACCACTGATCCACCCGCGGCCATGTTTACTACTCGAGGTCGAGGGCGCACCAACTCTGGTGGTCGCTCGGCTCGTGGCAATGGAGGTCGTAGATCCTTCTCCTCTGGCAATGGTGGTCGTGGATCTTTCTCCCCTAGTGGTCGCGATAGTGTTAGCCATCTTCAATCCATGCCGGTGCGTGGTGGTCGTCATGGACCTTCACGTGGAATGTCTCGTGGTGGTCGTGGCTCTAGTCGTCCTAATGCTTCACCGGTTGGAGATTCCTCTGGAGTCTATTGTTTTCGATGTGGTCACCCCTACCACAAAGCAAACAATTGTTTCACTCCAGACTCTGTTGTAGCTGATACAACTCAGGCCTTCACCGCCATGCATCTCGCTGATCAAAATGATCATGCATGGTACCCAGACACGGGCGCCACAAACCACATGACAGCTGGCCCAACTCAAGTTGAAGGTAAAACCTTTTATCACGGCTCAGATTCAGTCCTTGTTGGTAATGGTTCCACTCTCCCCATTACTCATCTTGGTCATTTGACTATACCTCATACTAAACTTCATCTATCTAATGTTCTTGTTGTACCTTCCATTAAGAAAAATTTGCTTAGTGTTTCTCAATACACCAAGGATAATAACTGTTGTTTTCTGTTTTACCCTTGGGGTTTTGTTGTCAAGGATCTGAGGAGCGGCCGGATTCTATTGAAGGGTTCTAAACACGGTGGACTGTATCCCATTGGAGTCGCTCCGTCTAAGTCTGTCTTTTCCTCTGCTTTGCTTGCTAATAAGATGGACTCAATGACATGGCATGCCCGTTTAGGGCACCCTAGTTTTTCTTCTATGAATCAGTTGTCATCTGTTTTAAATTATTCTACTCGTTGTAATAAAGTTTGTTGTCATAGTTGTAAACTTAGCAAATCTTCCAAAATTCCCTTCACTCGTCGTACAAGTTATACGGATCAGATTTTGCACACATTACATAGTGATGTGTGGGGACCTGCTCCCTCTCCATCAATAGAAGGTTTTTGGTTCTACTTGATCATTATTGATGAATGTTCACGGTTCTCTTGGTACTTTCCTTTACGTCGAAAATCGGAAGTACCATTCATATTTATTCAATTTATAACTTTGATGCAAAATCAACTCAATAGTCATGTTAAGTTCGTCCAATCAGACTCTGGTGGTGAATATGTAAGTCACCAACTTCGTGATTTCTTTGCTAGCCAAGGCATTATTCATCTTTTCTCTTGCCCAGGAACCCCTGAACAAAACGGTCTTGCTGAACGCAAGCACCGTCATGTTGTAGAAACTGGTCTCACACTCTTAGCCCATAGCTCTCTTCCCCGTCATCTCTGGAATTATGCTTTTACTACTGCTGTTTACCTCATAAATCGTTTACCCTCTTCCTCTTTACATGGTCGAACTCCCTTCGAGACTATTTTTGGTCAAAAACCTGATTATGCTCATCTACGAGTATTTGGTTGTGCTTGTTTTCCACTCCTTGATCCCTTTGGTCGTGATAAACTGGCTTACAAGTCACTTGAATGCGTGTTTGTTGGTTACAGTGGCAAACATAAGGGTTATCGGTGCTTGGATACTTTAACTGGCAAAATTTATATCTCACGGCATGTGTCATTTGATGAAAATTCCTTTCCATTTGCAAGAATATCACAGGAAACATCCAGCACTACCTCACCGGTGTTTCGAACCCAGCCGTTTCCAGATCAGACACTTCATTATTTGACAACAGATTCATCTCAAGTCAACAAAGGCCAAGTTCAATCCAGCTCTTCTTCCTCGGGAATCCAAGATCATGGAATTGCACCACATGAACCAGTTGATCATTGCCCCGCACTTCCTGGGCCTTCTACAAATGGTGGCGAACCTGCTGCACCTGACCTTCCTGCACAAGGCCAAGTTCCTGCACCTGAACTTCCTGCACCAGAAACTGAGAATACTGCACCTATCGACTCGAATCAGACATCTCTGTTGCCGCCAGCATGGCCTACTCATGCTCCTATTAAGCAAGCTCGAGGTACTCGAGGTGGTCCTGGGGCAGCACCTTTTGATCCTAATCCACCACCATCAGTCTCTCATCACTCCATGATCACTCGCTCTCGCGACGGGACCCGACGTCCAAAGGGCCTCTGTGCAACTCGCCATCCGATCCCCTTAGCACTTGCTTTCACCTTGCAGAATCATCCAGCAGAGCTGTCCACATATAAGCAGGCCGCAGCTGATCCTCACTAGAAACAGGCTATGACAGAGGAATATGATGCCCTTCAGCGTAACGGCACCTGGACTCTTGTACCCCTTACTCCATCAATGAATATCGTTGGCTGTAAGCGGGTCTACAAACTAAAACATCGTGCGGACGGCTCCATCGAACGCTACAAAGCTCGATTGGTCGCAAAAGGCTTCAATCAACGTGAGGGTTTCGACTTCGCTGAAACTTTCAGTCCCGTTGTCAAATCCGGTACTGTGCGACTCATTCTCTCCTTGGCACTCAAACATGGCTGGCCGCTCCGACAATTAGACGTCAAAAATGTTTTTTTACATGGGGATTTGCATGAAGTCGTCTACCTCCAACAACCACCAGGGTTCATTGATCCAGCCCATCCAAACCATGTCTATCACTTGCACAAGGCACTTTATGGTCTACGACAAGCTCCACGGGCATGGTACACTCGATTTACCAATTTTCTTCAACAGTTTGGATTCATCAGCTATCCTCATGATACTTCATTGTTTATGTGGAATCAAGATAACTGCACCATTCTCGTGTTACTATATGTGGATGATCTTATCATCACTGGAACCCATGATCAGCTACTTTCTCGGCTCATTAGACGTCTTTCTTCAGAATTTGACATGAATGATTTGGGAGCTCTTAATTTCTTCTTAGGCATGCAAGTTGTGCGGAATCATGATTCGCTTATTCTTTCTCAAACTCAATATGCACTCACTCTTCTTCATCGGTTTGGTCTCTCTGGTGTTAAACCTATTAAAAGTCCTCTCAAAGTCGGACTTCAACTCTCATCTTCAGCCCCGAATCCTCTTCCTGATCCTACGATCTACAGACAAATGGTTGGCTTCCTTCAGTACTTAACGATGACACGTCCGGATCTTACTTATGTAGTCAATCATGTGTGCCAATTTATGCAAAA